GAATCACTTCATGTTTGGCAGACTTCTAAAGGAGGGGCTAGACACTAAACTGAACCACTGTCCCCAAGGCTGACAGCTGACATCACCCGATTCCCTGCCAGAGCACATCTCGTATGCGTGTATGTATGGACTGAGGCCAAGGTTATCACAGCATAACCCAGAGGCAACAATTTGACAGTCTATTAGTAAGTATTCAATGACTGATGAAACAGACATGGTCCGCTTTAAGTTAATGATTCATACTCAACAGAGCTCTCTTCTACTCACTTCCCTCCACACTGAATGCTTGAGAAAGGAAAAGAAAAAAAAACCCTCCTCATTCAGATCTGTAAAAGATAAGCGGGCCTTTCAATCAAAGCCAGTTCCAGTCATTCTGCATCTTAGAGTCAATTATTGACGACTGACTAATTAGTTGTGCCCTTTTAAGCCTTTCTCTTAGTTTGGAGCTGTTTAAATATGCAAGATCAATAGCAGCTCTAATGCCCCACCATCGTCTGTGAACGTGGAGTCCAGCCGCATAGCAGGGCGCATCTATCAAAGAAATTAAGACTTTCACTCAAATTAACATCAACTTTTCTTATTGCATAATCATTTTGGACTGCGATCTGTATCCTATATGAAGCTATATCTCAAAAATCAATTAAAGGTGAACTATGCAGGTTTTTTACCTCAACCAAACAGCTTCGGAGTCATTGGAATGGTTATATTACTCTTTTCGGGTTGAATGGTGGTCGTTTCGCACCCCCCTATCGTATGTGAGCGGAAAAAACACACTTGCAACTTTAAGCCGGCGAGCCGCCGGCCGCAGCATCAGGAAGTGTCGCGTGATATCAGGTCTCGCGATGTAACGAATTGCTTTACGGCAAAAAAAGATCGGATAAAATTCGGATAAAATAAGCACCAAACAGAAATAACCCGGCGCCGTATACATGTGGTGTTCGAGGCGCACATACAATACAGACTGCCGACAGTTAAACAGGGCGCGCAGGGCGCGTGCAGCTCTTAAAGGGGCCACACCTTATTTCAACTCGTTACAGCTTCCATCCCAGAGTCCTGCACGGGTTCGGGTACCCGCGGGTGACCCGCAAATTTTGCTCAAACGGGTGAAAAATATCCAACTGTGTCGGATACGGATGCGGGTCGGGTCGGACACGGGGAAACGCGGGTCTAAACACGGGTTCAAACCAGTCACGTGCAAATGTAAAAATAAATGCATATTTTTAGGAACACATCTACAAAACTATGCCTGCCCTGTATTTCAAGTTGATAAAATATTTGTTTTTAGTTTATTTGAGCCCGCGCCCTCCCATGAGTCTCTAGGCCTAACGTTACATTAACTTTTAAAAAATCACAACCACTCGAACTGCTGAGGAGATTATAAAGTTGTCGACAATACTTCATCGAAACTCAAGACGGTGTATGTAGCGTTTAGGATTCGCATACAACTGGACTTTTCTTTCATTTAAAATTATCACATAGCCTACACTGTTGTTACTGTCTAATTTAAAACTGTTAAGTAGGCCTATGTGTGGTGTGAAATTGTCTGATGTGCTAGACGAAATTGCATTGTTTTGTGATAACGTTAGCCATGTTCTGTATAGGCTATCGGCTTTTTGACAGCTTCGGCTGTTGTCCTTGTCTTAAGGCAAGCCGCCAAAGGCAATACAAATTTGAAAAAAGTGTGTCTATAATGTGATTGGCTAAACTGATTTTATTTCCGGTGCATGTTGGGTCTCGGTTCTATTTTAAGCGGGTCGGGTCGGGTTGCGGATTTCAATTAGTGCTGCTGTCGGAAAACGGGTCGGATGCGGTTTTAAGCACTGCGGGTACGGGCGGGTGCGGATTTACAAAATCGGACCCATGCAGCTCTCTGTTCCATCCTACTGAACAGGTACCAGTGTACAGGGGGAGGGGATCAGGCCGTGAGTGCAGAGCCATCTCTGCGTGAGTGCTATTTACGACAGTACAAGTACTCCACAGCAGCTCTAGGAGTCGCCGTTTGACAAAAACGGAATTCCTGCATAGTGCACCTTTAACATTTAGGGCTCTATCTTGCACCCGGCGCAAATGACTTTGTACACTGACGCATGTATCATTCCTATTTTGCACCCGCGCAAAGCGGACTTTTCCCTCCACAGACACACGTCGGTTAACTAAGAAATACACTTGCGCTCCCCGGGGCGGTTCAGCGCAAAGAGGAGGCGTGTTCCGGCGCAAACTTTCCCTCATGCTATTTTGCTGTTCTATAAAACAATTGCGCCACGGACCAGAAAAAACCTAGTCTAAAGTCAGTGGCGCGTTGCGCGTTGTTCATAATGCTATTTTAAGCGCGCATGCTTGGCCATAATGTAGCGGGTGCACAACGCGCATCCACTTTGATTCTCTCATCAACACAGATGCAGCAGTTTTTATTTTTGCAAATCATACATTATAACAAGGAAAAATATTAACACATGAGGGAAATCATTGAAGATGTAAAAAAATTTTTTTTTTTTTCTCCCACGCCTGTTTAACCGACGCTGATTTGGGTGGGTTTCTCCCATCCCCATACAACGTCACTTCTCTGTCTTTCACGGTCCTGACAAGAACGCCGGTCTCCTCGGCTGTGAACCGCTCCTGGCGCGCGCCTGGTAAATCCGCCGTTATAATAGCAATCCGCCATGCAACACGCGCACCTGCTCTTAAAGGGAATGTGAGATGACGCTCTGATTGGTTTATTTCACGTACGCCCAAACCACACCTATGAATAATGAAGCTACTTCAGACCAACCCCTTTTAGATTTGCGCCAGGCGCAAGAGGCATTTATCCCGCCGGGGAAATAGCAACAGTGCCGAGATCCGCCCACAAAGTTACTTGCGCTTTGCGCTTTGACACTTGCGTTTCAGATCGTTAAAATAGGACCCTTAATGTGAAAATGTCATTGGTGTTAATCATTGAATATCAAATTTACACAAAATTAAAAATGTGTATTATGGAAAGAAGACTAATGTAAAGCAGAAATGTGACGCTCACATTTATAAAGCATTTTACTAAAGATAAGTTAGTAAATAGAGGAAGTGGAGGGGAATAGGATCATGATATGACCTGGGTCAGATTAAAACATGAATTCCAGTGAGCTAACAGCTTTTAAAGTAGATTGAAAACGATTGATTACATATTTTTATATATTATTAATTTATTATATATTGTAACGTACATCCGAGTGTAACGGATTATCAAAATGTAACAAAAACAATTAAGATGGGGACTTGGGTTCTATGCATTGATTGTGGACTGAATTTTGAGACAAACAGAGGCAAATGAATGAAAGCTATTGCCATTTATTAGTTAGGACAAAAAATATGAGGTCAAAACATTTTGTTTTGAAAAATAATTTTAATTTCATGCCGACTTTAATGTTGTGAGCAAGTACACTAACTTTTGAGAAAACTAGTACAATGTTGCATTTTATCCAGCTTTCACAAAGCATTTCAAAACAAACCAACATTTGTTAATAAATAACCCCGAATATTCTCTTAAGGCATGGTCACATTAGAGAAATTCTGAAGGCAAAAATGTCCCTTGTCAATAGTGTAGCGATGTACAGTATGTAGCACAGCTCATGCAGAAGTCACTTTCAAACCAAGCAACTTTCTTTTGGTCAACGTGGCGAATCTGAGCGACTGGAACCTGTTGCAAAATCTGCAAAGGGAAATCTTCTGTTCTCACATGAAATTCCAGATCATGTGGATTCCTATTAAGATTGCTGGATTTCGCTCTCGCACTCACACACAAAAAACACCTAAAAGCAATAATTATGCTAACATTAGCACACAAGTGCCCATACATGTATACATATATGTACGGTATTCATGAGGACATCACCTTCCTTCTAGGTTTCAGAAGGCTAAATGAAGGAACATGGACATGTTGGGTCTGAGCATCAGGTCAGCTCATTCTCTCGCCTCATTTTGGGCCAGCTCTGTTTACCACACATGGGCAGCATAGATGAATTATGGAGAGATACTATTAATTACAGATCTGCCAAGCACTGTGAATTATTCAGTCCTTTGCTTATGTAGGCGTTTATGGCATGCTATAGTTAACATAACTGCCTAACCAAGCATCAGATACCCTCAGGGGTATCTATGCATTTCAGGTCCTCCTTACGCTCGGGCAGGTGCAATACGCTGAATAAAGACACATGGGAGCACATGGGTTTTTCCATTTAGCAGATGGAAAGCAGAGGAACGGGAATGAGGTCACATATGCAACAACACACAGTGGCTTCCAGTCAGTAGTGGCTGTTGTCATGTAAAAAATGGGTCTATTGCGACAATTAGTAAGCTACTTACAGTACCTGCATTGACAATCCTGAAACTACACTGGAAAAGAAGGTAGAACAATTATGTTGCCTTATAAGATGCCTTTAGTTTTTTTCTCTCACGGAAAAGGCAATCCACTGTGACAAACTCTTTAAAAATGTTCATCCCAAGACAGTGGAAGGAATCAAGAAAAATTTTAATTCTAAATGTGTTGTATTCAGGGCTGAATAATAACGATGAAAAACGGTTACAAACTGGACTATTCAACCCAGGCTCGTTGATAAAAAGTGCCTGAGGCGACATTTCTGCAAAATGATACTCCAAAAAATTACTTGTTAATATTGCATCAGTTCAGAAATAAAATGTCCAGTGAGTGTCGCTAAAAGGTTAATGCTCTATCGCGTTCGAAAATAACGTACCACCTACACTAAACCTAACCGAGTGTTAATAAAAGCAAATGTGACATAAAAAGTTAAGTCTTTTATTGTGACTTGTGCTTCACAAGACTCGTACCTGAGTGCTTCGCATCACAAGTGCAATGCTGTACCAGGTGAGCTACCGAGCAAGTTTACTTCCTCAGAAAAGTAAGTGAGACAGTACACAGTGAGACAGTTCAGTAAGGTTTGGAACACAATGATTGTCACAACAGAGAAAGCTGATTCAAGCTTCATGGAAATCAATAGTTTGAAACTTACTTTAGCTTTGGTGCTTTGATCTGAGAGAGACTCCTCAGGCTGCTCCAGTACAAAATCCCGACTGGATTCCATCAAATCTCAGACATCTAGTAGTGGGGAGAGGGAGACAGAGAGACGCCAGATCAGTGTTCAGGTTTAGCTAAATGAAAATGAATACGTCAGCAATAACTCACATAAAGTAGGCTATAGCTTCAGATCAATCCAGTCCAAGCGGAAAAACGGGCCAATGGCTTAATTTGTGCCAAAAACGTTGCTTCTAGCTAATTTTGCAACACTTTATAAGTGAAATCTCCAGTGAGAAGCGCAACAAGAGCATTCAGTTTTATCTGAAACTGATGAACATGAATCTGACAAAGTTTTGTGTTGATTGTTGTACGTATCGCGGCAGTTCGGAAATTAAATGTCCGATGAGTGGCGCTGGTGAGTCTTTGAGATCTTTTATCGTGACTCGTGTTTCACAGGACTGTTTCAAGTGCAATTCTGTACCAGGTTAGAAAAGTACAAACATGGAGCTGGTTATGTGATGTAAACGTTAATATTAAGCCCCGTTCACACTACACGCGACCAAGCTACGCGATACCATTCATTTCAATGGTGAGCGGGCGACTTCCGGCGACACGCGCGACAGCGACCGTTGGCGACTAGATGGGGCGTGTCTGACGACGCGACAGAGTTGAGATCTGTTTAACTTTATGCAAATGCAGAGCGACTTTCGGGAGCGACAACCAATAGGAGTGAAGTCAGTGGAGCGCGTCACTCTTCAGTGCTGAGTCTGACCGAGGCAAGTTGAACGAGAAGGTCGTTTAATAGCAGTCAGAAACTGTCCATTTATTTATAATATATATCCGGTTACATACAGTGGTATTCACCGTACTGACTCCATGCCTGAATGGTTTCGGGAACCCAGATAGAACGGTATTTGCCCGTTTTCTGCAGTTAAATAGCCGCGATGGCAAAGAGCACTCACTGTTTCTCATTCATCTTTAATATTATGCATTTTATGTACTGATTCCATTTATATTTAGACTTTTCCTTCCGAAATATTTGTTTGTAGCGGCAAGAAAACGTATTTTTTGTTGTCTAACATAGAGTAACATCCGTGAATGTCACTCACAAACATTACTAGGCAACCAGTTGTGGGAACGCCCACTAGCGACCTCATCGCCAGCGACTGGCGAATTGCAGCGACAAAGTCGCGTGTAGTGTGAACGGGGCTTTAGTTTATAAATCATGTGGGTTTTGAGTTCATAAGGCGTGAAAATAAGTCTTTATTATTCCATAATCTGCTCCTGTGCTCATAATTTGTGGAAATGAAAAATTAAAGTTGTTGGCGTTTTACCGCCTTTAGTGTTCATTTCAGCTGGAATCTGCAGTGAATTCATTTATGGTGTTTTAGGGTACGCTTACACGACAACGATCTGCTTAAAACGGAGCAAAATTTTACCTTTGTAATATGCACGTGCATGACGTCATCGTCAGATTCGCGTTTTTGTTGTTTACACGGAGACCGTTTTCAAAAACTTGCACTCTGAAACCCGTTTTCAAAAGTTTGCGTTTTTACGCACCCAAAACGCTGTTGTCGTGTAAATGAACGTCCAAAATGCATACAAATGTCCCCTTTTTAATTGAAAACGGTGTCGTGTAAACAGCCCCTTATAGAAATGTAGGTAGAGGCCCTTGTTTCCAATGTGTCTGAAACAAATCAATCACATGCAATTAGTATCAGGCTTTACAAGAGACAGCCAAGGTCTCAGTGCTCCAATAACTTTAGTCATCCAACAGCTGACTAATTGATTAGGCTAGTTTGTAGTTTATATTTTAGTAGCAAGTCTTTAATTACCGTGTTAACAGCTAAACTGTGCGGTAATCTATGTCAAGTCGCATCCTTAAGTTTGTCCTCTTTAAAGCACTGCCGCTACAGCCATAGATGCCATACACATGCAAATGGGTACGTCAACAAGTGCGCAACCGACTTGATTTTGAGAATATGTAGTTGTGTACATCCCCACACTGAACGTCAAACATCAAACACAAAGCAAGCTGCTCCTCTCTATCCACCCGTGAATGGATGATTGTTTACTTGAAGTGTTTTGAGTCACTTATGTGATTACCATGACAGAGAGCAGTCTAGGTCCTTTCAGAGAGCACCAATCTCCATCTTTTCCAAGGGCCACCTCAATTATTCATAGCCTGGTCCTATTTGTGTCTTTGTGCTCTACGAAGCTGTTACTCAGCATGCTAAAACCTTCACACAGCTGAAGCTAGATTGCCAGTTTTATAGGAGAGCATCTTGTGAAATAAATCATAGCCATGTGACATGCAGCGAGGGGTCAAGGTGCACAGCAAATGTGAAGGAGCGCGCATGGATTGGGGTGTAATCAAGTACCACGTCTCATTCACTCTCGAGTGGTATAAAAGAACACATCTCAAGCGCCCAGCCGAACTGTAATGAATGGAAGACGTTGTAAAAGTTCAGACCCGGACATATGTGAAATTGTGTAAGACTGACCTTGAATCGTTTTCATTAAAAGTATCTTTTACATTCGTGAGTTAACTCAAATTAAAGTGCAGAAAATTTAAAAGGACACTCCGACTTTTTGGGACTTTAGCCTATTCACCTTATCCCCCAGAGTTAGATAAGTCCATACATACCTTTTGTATGCTCCGTGGTGTGGAGCAGAGAACGCGTCTCAGGTGCTGCGGTTATCACTCCGCCCAAGTAGCAGTGCTTCGCCTTCAGAGAATATAGTTCCCAGTATTTATACGGTTAAAATATGTCTGTCTCATGTGACTGTTTTTTGTACACTCTGTGACTATACAAATCACAACATGTAAATAGGAAAATGTTTGCGTTATTTTTGTCACTTATTTGGATTAGTATGCTAGCTGCAACCATTTACATCCAGTCTTTTTGCTAAGCTAGGCTAGCGGTGGGTGCGTCAAACAGACTTATAGCACGCACGGAGATGAAAAAGGTATGTATGGACTTATCTAACTCTGGGGGATAAGGTGAATAGGCTAAAGTCCCAAAAAGTCGGAGTGTTCCTTTAAAAGGACACTGCTTTACTCAGTCACAGATCCGTTAATGGGTCAAACTACAAGATGACAGAAATATCAGAACCCCTGCGACACTTAAAGGCAGATAATTACCTTTTTTATTTAAAGGGAGATTGTCAAAAAATTGCCATCATGCTCACCTACCTTCATGTTGTTCCAAACCCTGTCCAAGCGTTTGTTTTGTTGTTGTTGTTGTTTTTTCCCCCATACAATAAAAGTGGATAAAGACCAGGAACATCTATGGTCAGCATTTATCACTTTCATTGAAGGGAAAGAGCAGCTTTGACATTATGCTAAATATTTCTTTTTGTGTTTTAGGCAACAGAGAGTCCCATTGGTTTGGAATGACAGGGTGAGTAATTTATTACAGAAATTAAGGTAACACTTTACATGAAGGTCTCATTTATAAACATTAAGATAATAATGCATTAACTAACATGAACTATCAATGAGCAATATATTTTTAAAGCATTTATTGACCTTTGTTAATGTTATTTAATAAGCATTCGGGTTAACTTTTGTTCCCTCATTTCCCATTTTAATAGTTTTCCACGGTTTTTCAAGTATGGAGGCGCTTGAAGCATTCAGTTGCGCTCTAGGCGGTGGGACTAATATCTGTTAAGTCTAAGTCTGTGGCAAAACTCAAGTGTTTTCCGCATATCATTCAGATCAAAAAAGGTCAAAAGCACTTGTCAGAGACACGAAACTCCTTTTAGCTTTAGGTAAGTGCCTATTACCAACATAGTCCAATCAGAATTAAATTAAAACACCATTCGACCGGACCTAATACAGGTTATATATATAGACTATATGTGTTTGCGCACGTGTTATCAGGAAGCAACGTAATACGCACATGATGACAGGAAGTGAGGGCGTTGCGTAAATCAAGTTACCCCTCTCACTTCTGCTAGTTTTACTGAGATATCGTATCTTGTGCAAATTGGCCATTATTATCACAGACGTCCTGTGGTAAAATTGCATTACTCCATCTACCCTTGTTAAACTAATCCCGTCCGAATAGGGCTAAAGAGAGCAAGGAAGGAGACAGGATAGGACAGGAGCAAGGGGAGGAGGGATGTGATCAGAAAATGGACCAGCCAGATTCAAACTTGGGTTGCACACATAATCACCACTGTGTCAGGGCCTGTGCACTTCCTGCTGGGCCAAGACTGCAATGAAACACAACACAATACTAAATTAAACTGAACTAAAACATTTCCACCGTTGAAAACTAACTAAAGCTACTGATAATGCATCTCTGCATTATATTAGGTATTTATATATTATACCTCATAAATAAACAAACTGTTAAATGTGACTATTATTGACTGTAGTCAACTAAGTTAAAGGGTTAGTTCACCCCAAAATGAAAATTCTGTCAGTAATTACTCATCCTCATGTTGTTCCAACCCCGTAAGACTTTCGCTCATCTTCGGAACACAAATTAAGATATTTTTTATTAAATCTGAGAGCTGGATCACTCCTCCATAGGCCTCTTAAGGGATCGAAACTTGCCGGCCCAGAAAAGTTAAAATCGTTAAAATAGTCCGAGTGACTACAGTGGCTCAATTTTAAGTTTATCAAGCGACGAGAATACTTTTTCTGCACAAAAAACATACAAAAATAATGACTTTACTTTATTCAACTATTCATTTCCTTCTCTGTGGGCCGCGAGATTTCACTCGGACTATTTAAACGATGTCTTAAACTTTTCTGGGCCGGCAAGTTTCGATCCCTTTAGAAGCCAATGGAGGAGTGATCCAGCTCTCAGATTTAATCAAAAATATCTTCATTTGTGTTCCGAAGATGAACGAAAGTCTTATGGGGTTTGGAACAACATGAGGGTGAGTAATTACTGACAGAATTTTAATTTTGGGGTGAACTATCCCTTTAAGCCAGGTGCACACTGTACGATTTATAATAGTCCTTTACGACTGTTGCTTGTCAGACTGTACGAACATGATCCCCGCTGTAAGCCATGTCACACTGTGGGTGTGTGGTACGGCAGTCGAGATGTGTTCAAAACGGA